GGGATGGGATGGGATGGGATGGAGGCAACCCAATGCGGGGAGATGGGGCTGGTCTTGGCTCTGGGGGGAAAGGAAATGGGCACGCAGCAGACATTTTGAAAAGGTCCCTTGTCCCATTCAAAAGGTCCCTGAGCAGAAACTTCTTCACCATCAGAATTATGACATTCAGGTTGGGATGAAAGCTTATCTTTTTAAAAGGAGGAAATCAATATAAAACTATAAATACATGCACGCACATCAATACCTTGCTTCTGGTTTTTTTTGGTGCTTTCTTTTCCGATTTATGGCGAGCCTAAGGCAAACCTATCATGGGATTTTTGGGGCAAGATTTGTCCAGAGGGGTTTGTCCTTTGCCCTACTCTGAGGCTGAGAGTGTGTGACTTGCCCAAGGTCACCCAGTGGTGAGCAGGGATTTGAACTCTGGTCTTCAGAGTTGTAGCCCAATGTTCAAACCACTGCTGCTCACATCAATATCTTAGCAATTTTTACTATCCTGCCCACCCCCAGAATATATCTGAATTTTAAAAAAAGAAAATAAAAATCCCTAGAATTCTTATTTAAGTTAAGGAAAAATGGCTAAAAATATGCCTTATCCAGGACTGCAAAAGATATATATTTGGGGCCTGATTTTTTTTAAAAAAGTTTTTTTGGTTTGTAATGACTTCCAGAAGGAATTGGAAGAGGAGCAGGAAAGAGGTGGTTGGCTGATTAAATTATGTGTGTCTAGAGCCAGATTGGCGTAGTGGTTTGAGCAATGGACTACAATTCTGGAGACCAGGGTTTGAATCCTGGATCAGCCATGTAAACCCTTTGGGTGACCTTGGGCAAGTCACACTCTCTCAGCCTCAGAGGATGGCATTGGCAACCCCCCTCTGAAGAGACCTGCCAAGAAACCACCACGATAGGATCACCTCAGGGTCGCCATAAGTCGGAAATGGCCTCGGGCACACAACAACAACAGCCACAGCATTCTCTCTTCCGTGGGCCCAAAGGCCAGGGCTGGGCGTCCCTTTGGAAACACACTGCTGGCCCTTGTCGAGTGTCCGAGCGGTGTGCGTTCCTGCGGTGCGAGGCGAGAGCCCTCCTTTCCTTCCCCCGGCAGCCGAGACCAGCCGCCTTGGCCTCTTCCTTCTCCTCTCCTCCGGCTTGCCTCCCTTCTTCTTCCCTTCCTTCCTTCCTTCCTTCCTTCCTTCCTTCCTTCCTCCCTC